GTTGAGTAAGGCTGTAGCTCCTGTTAAAGGCTTTGCCACATTCTTTACATATATAAGGTTTCTCTCCAGTGTGAGTTCTCTGATGTTGAGTAAGGTTTGAGCACCGGTTAAAGGCTTTGCCACATTCTTTACATATATAAGGTTTCTCTCCAGTATGAATTCTCTGATGTCGAGTAAGGTTTGTGCACTGGTTAAAGGCTTTCCCACATTTATTACATTTATAAGGTTTCTCTCCAGTATGAATTCTCTTATGTCGAGTAAGGTTTGTACACTCGTTAAAGGCTTTGTCACATGCATTACATTTGTAAGATTTCTCTCCAGTGTGGATTTTCTTGTGTCTACTTAGAGTTGATGATTGACTAAAGACTTTCCCACATTTCTTACATTTGTAAGATTCCTGCTGAGTATGAATACTCTGATGTTGCAGAAGTTTTTCAGACTGGTTAAAATCTTTGTCACATTCAATACTATTGTAAATCTTCTGTCCAATATGGATCCTCTGATGTGTAATAAGGTATGAAAATAAACCTCGGGTGAGATGAGATGACACAGCTGAAAGATATCAAATAAATTATGCCACTTACTACACTCAGTGAATATAGTTTATAATTTCATATAAAATTGACAAAACCTTAGCTCAATTAATAATAAAAGAGAGAAGATAAAATCAGCAATGAAAGTAGGGACATTATAAATGATACCACAGAAATAAAAGTAACTGTGAGAGGCTATTATGAACAATTATATACAAATATATTAAACACATAGGATAAAATATATGAATTTCTAGAATGGTACAACTTATGTAGACATTAGCATGGAGGAATAAAAAAATACAACAAACCTACAACCAGTAACTAGACTAAAACAGTAATTTAAAAGAAACTGCCAATGTGGAAAGCTCTGGACCAGATGAATTCACTGGATATTTTTTGCAACATTTAAGGAAAAATTGACACCATTTCTCCACAAACATTTCCTAAAATTGAAGAGGAGACAAATTATCAAAACACTTTCTATGAGGTCAGCTAACCCAATATCAAAGCCAAACAAAGTCACTACAAGTAAAAATAACTACATGCTAATATCTGTGCTGAATATTGATTCATAAATCCTCAATAAAATATTAGCAAACTGAAGTCAAAAGCACATTAAGGAATTATACACCACAAAAAAGTAGGAATTATTCCTGGAATTCAATCGTGTTTCAAAATATGGAAAACAAAATATGTAAGGATAAATTGACAGAATGAAGGTCAAAACTACTAACAGTATCAAATGATGCGAAAAATAAACTGACAATATTCAATGCTGTTTCATGAAATAACACTCAGAATAGGAATTCAGGGAGACTACCTGAATATAAGATGATATGAAAAGCCCAGAGTTGACATCATACTCAATAGTGGAAGACTGAAAGATTTTTTCCTATAATCAGGGAAAGCAAGATGCCCGCTCTCACCACTTTCATTTGTCATTGAACTGGATATCCTAGCCTGAATAATTAGACAGGAAAAGAAATGAAAGCAATCAACTCAGAAAGAAAGAAGTAAAATGATTTCCATTGACAGATGACAGGATCTTATATGTGGAAAACCCTAGAGAATCCACACTAAAAAAAGAAACATAGAAGTCATAAACAAATTTAGCAAAATGCAAGATACAAAATTAACACATAAAAACTAGTGGTGTTTCTGTATAGTAACATGGAGTAATCCAAAAAAGAAATTAAGAATAAAATTACATTAACAATATCATCAAACAAAATAAAATACTTAGGGGTTAAAATAATGAAGGAGGTGAAAGACTTGTATGACGAAAAATATAAAATATTGCTGGAAGTAACTAGGGAAGAAATTAAAAAATGGAAACACATACCATGTTCCTGGACTGTAATACTTAATTTTGTTAAGCTGTAAATACTATCCATCTGTATTTTCTACAGATTCAAAGCAATCCCTACCAAAATCATAATGACACATTTGACAAAATAGAAAAGCTCATCTTAAAATTTTTATGGAATGCCACAGGACACCAAATATCCAAAACAATCTTCCACAGAAAGTGTCAAGTTGGAGGAATCCTAGGAAATTATACACACTTCCTGATTTTAAAACACATTACAAAGCTATGGTTATCAAAAAAGTTTAGTACAGACATAAAGACAGATGTAGAATAATGGAAGAGAACAGAGTCCAGATATAAGCTCTCATATATATGGTCAAATGACCTTCAACAAGGGTGCCTATACCACACAATGGGGAAAAGACAGTCTCTTAAACAGTGTTGGGGAAATTGGATGGCTAAATGCAAAGTAATAAAGTTGGAACCTTACCTAATACCACATACAAATATTAACTCAATAACAGATTACAGATTTAAACATAGGGCCGGCCCGGTGGCGCACTGGTTAAGTTCGTGCACTCTGCTTCTGCAGCCCCGGGTTTGCAGGTTCGGGACCTGGGCACTGACTGATGCACTGCTTGTCAGGCCACGCTATGGTGGCGTCCCATATAAGGTTGAGGAAGATGGGCACAGATGTTAGCCCAGGGCCAATCTTCCTCAGAAAAAGAGGAGGATTGCTAACAGATGTTAGCTCTGGGCTAAACTTACTAAAAAAAAAAAAAAATTAAACATAAAACCTCCAAATGTACATCTATTACAAGAAAACATAGGGGAAAAATCGATAACACTCAATTTGGCAGTGATTTCTTGTTTATGACAGCAAAAGCACAGGCAACAAAAGCAAAAATTTCAATTGAGATTGCATCAAATGAAAAACCTTGTGCACATTATATGCAACAATCAATGGGGTGAAAAGACTACCTGTGGAATGAGAGAAAAATTTTGCAAAGCATATATCTGATAAGTAGTTATTATACAGAATATGTAAAGAACTCTACTAATCAATAACATCAAAAACAACACATTAAATAAATTAGCAAAAGATTGAATAAATATTAATCTAAAGATGATATACAAATGTATAACAAACATTTGAAAGATGATCAGAATCACTAATCATTAGAGAAATACAAATAATAACCACAATGATGTATCACATCTCACCCATTAGGATGACCACTATTAAATTAAGAAAAAAACATAAGTGTTTGCAAAGATATGAAGAAATTGGAACACTTATGTATTGTTGGTGGAAATATAAAATGGTGCAACCATTATTAAAAACATTATAGAGGATTCTCATAAAATTAAAAATAAAATGATTACATGATCTAGCCATCCCACTTCTGGGTATACATATAAAATAATTGAAACGATGATCTGCAAAAGTTATTTGCACACCTAGGTACATTGTAGCATTATTCACCAAAGTGATAACAGGTGGAAGCAAGCCAAGTGTCCATGAATAAAAGAATGGATAAAGAAAGTGTAGCATATACATACAATAGATTATTATTCAGCCTTGAAAAGGAAACAGATCTTTCACATGATATAACATGGATAAATATTGAGGACATTATGTCAAGTGAAATATATGAGACACAAAAAGAGAGTTTCCATATGAGTTACATAGGATTCCACTTATGTAAATAATATAATATAATCAACCTCAAAGAAAAAAGAGTGGAAGGTAGTTAGCAGGATCTTGGGGCAGAGAAAAATGAGGAAGTGGCTACTTAATGTGTATTGAGTCAGCTGTGCAAAATAAAAATTCCCAGAGATCAGTGGTACAACAATGTGAATATACTTAACACTACTGACCTGTACAGGTAAAAATCATTAAAGATGGTAAATTTTCTGTCATGTGTTTTTAACCACAATTAAACAGAAAAAAAAAAAAACTTAACGTGATAGAGTTACAAAACTTTTCAAAAATTACCTTTAATTAAAAAAAAATGTTCTTTTCACATAAATAGGATATAAATTCATCAATAAATAATGCGAAGTTAAGACTATTTCCATGACTATTCACCCAGATGGAATGAAACAACCATTGGTCATTAACCAAAAAAGGAAATAAATCAGATAATTCACAGACAGAGTAGGGGTAATAATTTTACAGACAAACACACACATAATTATATTAGCAACAGACATACGGCTGATTCATATTTGAATTAAATTACAGGGCCCGCCCGGTGGCTTAGCGGTTACATGCGCGCTCCGCTACTGGCGGCCTGGGTTCGGATCCCAGGCGTGCACCGATGCACTGCCTCTCCGGCCATGCTGAGGACGCTTCCCACATACAGCAACTAGAAGCATGTGCAACTATGACATACAGCTATCTATTGGGGCTTTGGGGAAAAAAAAGGAGGAGGATTGGAAATAGATGTTAGCTCAGAGCTGGTCTTCCTCAGCAAAAAGAGCAGGATTATCACGGATGTTAGCTCAGGGCTTATCTCCCTCACAAAACAAAAAAAAAAATTCCACATTGTCCTAACGGTACTGAGTTAACTATTATTCACATTCATAACATATAGGTTAAGAAAACACAATTAACTAATTTTGAGGAAACTACCATAGAAAAGAAAGCCCAGGGGCCGGCCCCATGGCTTAGTGGTTAAGTGCGGGCACTCTGCTGCAGGCGGCCCGGGTTTGGATCCCGGGCGTACACCATCGCACCATTTCTCCGGCAATGCTGAGGCTGCGTCCCACATGCAGCAACTGGAAGGATGTGCAACTATGACATACAAATATCTACTGGGGCTTTGAGGGAAGAAAAAAGGAGGAGGATTGGCAATAGATGTTAGCTCAGAGCCAGTCTTCCTCAGCAAAAAGAGGAGGATTAGCATGGATGTTAGCTCAGGGCTGATCTTCCTCACAAAAGAAAAAAAAAAAAGAAAGCCCATGATTATGGAATTGGAAAATAAGATTATGAGAAAATTTAGCCTCCAAAATTCTAAATAAAATATAGATGTACTATTAAAAAAAAAATCCCTCTATATAACTATAAGTTTCAACTGTCACTGTGGGACCATGAAGAGCTAGCATTTTCAATGACTGGCATGTGTTATATAGCAGGAAAATTTCAAAGTAAAATGCCTTATAATCATTCATGAAAGTACTGCTGAAAAATTTGAATGAATAAGCATGTAAAAGACACTAGAGAAATTTATTATATTATTAATGTATTGCTGCTATTCTTATGCAAGATGGAACGGCTGTAATCCATTGTTTAGAAGAAAAAAAATCCCTTCATTTCTAAATAAAGGAACAATATGAAAGTTGTAAAATATGCAGAACATCACTGTTACATAAAATGAACATTTGGGATTAAATTATACCATGATTCAGACAGGCGTTGTGGAAATTTGATGAAAAACATAATGACTACTTTTGCCTGAAGTAAACTTAAATTTATGAACCAAAGATTTTCGTAAATATGGAGTTCCTACTGATAATCAAACACAATTCTTACTAAATGTGTACATTTGAGTGTGTTATATCAGAACATTTTTATCTAAAATCATGGATGAATTTGACATAGAACTAATTGGAGAGTGAAAATTTACAGTCCTGGGAAACTTCATGC